GCCAGCAGAACTTTTCTGCTCAAGTGTAGAAGAGCAAAACACAACACAAACGCAGTTTGTCTCTGACAAAAAAACATTCTTCATGAATTCTGGTGAAAAATTATTCGCTGAATTGAGGAATAAAAACTTTAATGAAGTTGGAAAAATTTTAGCACGCAATGCTCGTGAGATTAGTGCGCAAATGAATACAAATGCACAGGATACCTCGGTACAGGATATGAAACGCTTTGTAGACAAATTGCCAGCATTGTTAGCACAAAAACAATCAGTGGCAGTGCATACAACAATCGCAGAAATTATTCGCAAAAAAGTAGATACTTTCGAGTTCTCCGATGATCTAGCAGCCGAGCAAGAGTTTATGATGTGCGAGGACACTGACAAAGCCAGTGCCTATATTGAAGATATGATTGCGAAAAAGAGTGACCTTGAAAATGTTTTACGACTAATGTCGATGCAATGCTCGGCGGCATCTGGATTTAAAGAGAAGGTAAAGTTTTATATACAAATTTGTGTTTAAAAGGAATTCACATTATCTTCTCAGGTTTTGAATTATTACAAACGTGAGTTAGTTCAGGTGTACGGATTAAATGTTCTGCTTAAAATAAGTAATTTGGAAAAAGCTGGTCTTTTGTACACTCAATCAGAATCCCGTGCTTATGCGGTTTTACGCAAGGTCAGTAATAAATAATCAACATTTTTCTTAAACATACCATAATAATAATTTTTTATCTTAGACTCTTAGTTTAACAGTGGAAGATGTCGTTGAAATAGAGCCAAAGGATATTAGTTATGTTCATAGTTTTTATGCACCACTAACTGCTCGCATCGTAGAACAGACTTTGAAACCTTTGGGATGGCAAACGTTGAAGAGTCAAATTAATAACTTACCAGGTCCAACATTTGAAGATTTCCAAGCTCAACTAATAGGTATAAGCGGTCGTCACAACTCATCTACTCCGATAGATGGTTCCGCTCTGAACATTCCACGTATTATTTTGGTATTCTTTGTGGGCGGTTGTACTTTTGCGGAAATCGCGGCCCTAAGGTTTCTATCACAACAAGAGGATAATAATGTTGAATTTATTATAGCCACCACAAAAATTATTAATAAGCATAGTTTTATGAAAGATTTAATGTCATAATCAATTGCTAAATTATATTACGATTATAAAAAAACAAATAACTATTTATTGTAAATTAAAATAAAATATATTCCAAATAAAATATATAAGTACCTTTGTTCTTTTAATATTACCGCTCTATCTATGATCTATTTTATGTTATGTGAAGTTATAATCTAAACTAACAAATTGGTTGAAGGCATTGCAATATACAGTGATATTCTCTTATAGGATATTCAATGTTTTCAGATCTCGTTTATAATTTTGGAGGACCCGTTTATATATTTAGACTTGTCTACCGTGATAGCGAAATAAATCGCACTCTTACAATTCTCGGTTTATTGAATGAATTAAAATAATTATTTACAAAATAAAGTTTAAAGCAGTTTGTTTAAGTTAGAGGGGGCCAAAAAAATTAACTCCGGAGTAAAAATATTTCTAAACCAACAACAAATGCAAAGGTTACAACAGCCAGCAATGAATGCTTTACGATTACCCTGTTAGTTTCGAGTGAGCAACCACCGCGAGCCTAACGGCGTCAACATGCTAGCTATGATTATTTTTCCTATTGTACCATAAACATTCTGAGCACAGCCCTGAATTATTCTACTAGTAGCCAATGATACTAAACATCTAATAAACGAAAATTTAGCAATTGGATCAGATAATGCCGTTCATAGGGATACCCTCAAACACGTTCATAATGCTTCCGTTAGTGACCGATGTGCCGCCTTCGGTAGTGACAACGTAGTGTTATTGTTCTCATTTGAGCAATGTTACGGTTTCAAAGCCTGAATATATAATATTTGAAGTATTCTTAAACTAACTTAAAATTACTCTTAAACTCATAATATTTAAAACCTCCTTAACAACCACAGATATCGTGTTCTGCGAAAGTTAAAATTGTTTAAGCTGTCTTTATAATAACTACTGTCAGCAAGAAGATGGAAAATTTTAATTGTCAATAAAACTTTAGCTTTTTTGGGCTAGAAAGTTCCAATGGATTTGTGTAATCATGAAATATTTTTCGTATAGGCAGGATATTAGTTCTTTGAGCAACATTTGAGTTCATTTATTCACTCTTTTATAAACAGGAACTTAATTGAATTTTGTTCTGAAAATAAATAACTTTAACTTTAATTCAACTGAGTGGAGCTGCAAACCTTAATAGGGATATAGTATTTCTGTCTTTCTTTCCAAGCTCTTTTCGTTCCTTCATAGCTCTTCCATGATAATGTGTGAACCCTTGAGCTCCGTTCCAATATCAAATATTTTTGTATCAGTTCCATCACTATAAATTTTTTGTAGTTTATTTAACTGTTGTGTAACTCTAAAGTAGTAGAGCTATTGAGATGTTGATTGAAATGCTCAGTTAAAAAAAAGATATATATTTTAAACAGCTTAATCTGGATATGGGATACTTGTGCGCAGGCTGTGATCTTCCTTAGTTTAGAACACTATATTTTATTAGCTACAACAAAAATAATTTCCAATATATATGTATGTGATTTTTTGCCGTCTTTATTTTTATAGACTTATTAATTTGTTATTTTCGATTTTATTATATCTAGCATAAAAATAAAATAAATTTGAATTTCAATATTTTTAACATAAAGTTTTTCTTATTGTTCCTTAATACGTTTCTAACTTTTGTTGTTGTTTTTTAAATATATATATATATATATAGTATATGTGTAGGTATGTATATGAATTTATTTTTGTTGTATAGTATTATTACAAAGTTTATGTTACTACAAAACTAAACTACTAAAAATGTGTTTTAGATTTGCTTTGTTTATGTTATTTTAATAATGGGTTGATTTTTGCTGGCGTGGAAACTATTTTACACACTTTCATATGTGGAAATTGCTTTGCATATTTAATTACATTTTGTAGATCTTAGAATATTTAAAGTAAATATTTACTGAAGCAGAGGAAAGGAACAACAACAACAGCATTAAACCGTAATTATTTAATTTTCCAGTGAATCGTCTGAAATTCTCATTACGTAGAATTAGGCAGAATAATGGTGCTGCAATACTTCAATGACTGGCTCGTTCGCCAGTCAAATGTATTTACAATGGTCGCGATCCTTTCCTCGATAAACATTATAATATTATATTTAAAATATTCGTAATAAAGTACTGTACATTGTTTATGTTTTAGTGGGCGTTTCACATCATACTCAAATAATATGCTCAAAAGCTCTGCATATTTGTTTTTTCGGCAGCTTTATTAATTAGCTTAATGCTGTTCATTTTGTTTTATAAATCTGTATAAAGTTGTGGCGTTGTATGCGCAATTATATATTTCTTAAACTCTGAACAAAACTGAACAAATGGCGTACAAAGCAATTCATTAATCGGTGGCTAGGATAAATGTTGCGGCAACAAACCTTCTTCGCCTCACAATTCAACAACAAAAATAATACAAAACAAAAAAAAAAAAAACATGAACAAATTTACAATATTAATTTGTATTACTAAAATAACGTAATATTATATTAACACAACATTTTGGCTAATTGTTAATTTTCAAAAAATTAATTTTATTTTAAATATTCTAATTTACCTTTCCATTTTGTTATTAATTCTTGAATTTCTTGATATATATATTTACTTTTTCCATGCTCTCATATTTATAACTTTTGATAAAATATGAAAATATGAACGGCTCAAAATAACAAAGCGAAATCGCAATCACAAAGCAATACAATCAAAATATGTAGTTAATGGCGAATATGAAGTATGACAAACTCTAGTACATATCTACTATTGGCTCAGTGACGATAGCCGACCGCATCCTAATCATTAACATTCCAAATTTAATTCGAGGGAAAAAGTTATTTTCGTTTCAAAATTAAAAAGTATTCCAGGAATAATATAAACTTACAATATTGAAAAATTCACGAATCCCTAAAACTTGCTTCGACCTTTCAGCATTATCCAATGATTAAAAGGAATTTACAGTTCTACAGAACAGCACGAGTTGTGTCACAGTTCAAATTCAGTTTAATGGAATGTTAACTCAACCACATATTTAAGCAGCAAAGTTTCCAAATGTGAGGCGTACACAATTATCTGGCGATACTAAGTGAGCCAATGGCGCCAACCCGGTATTTCAACCGCCTCGCGTATATAATTGACCATGGCCGAAGATTTAACTGGACTCTTTGCACTAATTGTTAAAATAAATTAACGAATAAAAAAAACATCGAAACGTCTAGAAACTAAAAATTTTAAACTTTTGCAAATGAGCGCCTACAACCGTTGAGCATAAATAACAAATACTACTAGCTTTTATTTACATTATACTCGTACTATTTACCCTTGGCTTTAAAACAAGTATTACCAAGTCACTTCGTAGTTGAATCCTTAGCTCACACTGTTGAGTTGCTTTTAAGACCAAAATATGCATTGAAATGATGCTTCAGAGAATTTTCATACATAAAAAATGTAAAATAAATTCCATGTAAATTTCTCAATTTAAATTTTTTCTTCTGCGCTATGATTACTGGAATTGAGCTTTCCGATAGCGTTAAGTTCTACATATATCAAGGTATTTCAACAAAATTTCAAAAGATCAAAATATCTACCGAAGGGGACTAGACTCAACTGACAGACAGACAGGCTAATGTTTGAACAAAAACATATATAATTCAATTCCATTTTGTTTCTGATTGTATACTCACATACACATATCATCAACATAAATCAAGATGTTGCACTCTTTGATATGTAATATCACAGCAAGAAAAATATGAAGAATTGCCCATGCTATTGCAAGCAAAGAAATCGTTACAATAAGTACTGGACACAGGGAATTTTGGAATATACAGTTGGATGTATATGGTGTACGAATTCTAAACCTATATATGAGTACCGAAACTCGACTATATCAGTCTATACGAAAGATAGTTCTATAGTACAATGCAATTGCATACATCTCTCCATCGCACATTAGCCAAATTCCATATCTTGCAAACATATAGAAGGAAATGCCATTTTCACGCCAGCTTTATATGCATATACAATCGTTTATATGTTATGTAAGCGAATATTCTTGCGGACATATGGACATACGACAGTGTAGGTATTTTTTATGGTATTTCTTTATAGCGCTATTATACTGCATTATAAAAAAACTAGCGTCCTAGTTTGTAACGCCTCTTTTTGATTATCTTATTCAAAGCCTTGCAGCTTAAGAAACTCGCCACTAATGCCTATGTTTTCTTTAATGATAATTAATTACTTTTCCATGTCTTACTGTGTTTTACTGTGTTTTTAAATTGCAATTTTGTTGTAATTTAATAACTTAAATATAAAAATATGAACCGGCGGCAACTGCTAATATGTATTATTATTGCTGTTTATATTTTGCTTGTTGCAATCAGTGGCATACATTTAATTTTGTTAATTGCATTTTATTATTACTCTTGCTTCACTCACTGTTTATACCTTTCATACTTTCTTCTTCTTTAATGTATTCGTTATTATTATTAGTGTTTAGTTCTAATATTTTTTAGGTTTCTTTTTTTACATTACTTCTTTTACTTGGTTTTTACCATCATCACTAGAATTACGAAATCCTTTCTTTGTTATTGAAATTATGTTAGTTTTAATAAAATTGCCGTTTTTATACCTATTAGTGTTTTTATGCTATAGGGAGCCAGCCGGAAAACTTGTAGAGCTATTACTATGCGCTAAACTGATCATGGACCCTGATAAGCTACCCTCCTCGTCGGGGTATGTTTCACGCGACACCTCGCTGAGTGATAGAGCGCTGAAAGTGAAATAGAGCAAAACAAAAATACGTATAAATACTTTATAACTGATGCATTATAAGTACGTAGTATAAAATTAAAATATGTGCATACATATTGAATTTTACCCTAAAGTTGTATCTAAAAATAAGGTTGAATTGAAACCACACGATAACTTCTTTTACCACGCGACCTACATGATGAAGTAAATTCGGATTTATCAAATTTATTGGTGAAGAACTTTTATTTCACACAAACATTTAATATATTTGTCATTAAAATAATAATTTCCAAAGAATTCGAAACGGTATGAAATATTAATTTTATTATGGAAATAGCCTAAAATTGTATGCAGTTTTTTATATGAAACTGTTTTTAGCTGGAAATTTATACAATTTTAGTTATAAATGACCGTAATAAGTATTATTATGCGCCATTTTCTTAAATATAATTTTCTAAATTCCCATATTCTCACCTGAAACCTAACGCAAGCGATTCCTGATCGAAAGCTTCCAGTTCTCTGGCATGCTTTTCTTGTTTGATACGTAAACGTTCAGCTCGCTCTTGATTGAACTGCTGTAACTCCGCATTCATCTGCATTAAATAAAATATATGCGCATTTTCTCAATTATATTAACATTCGCGTCACTTTACCTTGCTCTCCAGTAAACCTCTACGAACGTTTACTCTGTTTTCCAACTCTTTACGCTCACGATCACGTTGCTCCTGAGCTTGTTTCTTGTTTTTATTTTGGTAGGCAGTGAGCACATCAAGTTCGTACTCTAATTGCTCGTTGGTACGATGGCACTCAATCACTTGGGTCTCATCCAATTTGTAACTCTGACTTTGGAACATGTCAGCGATGCTTTGTTCGTACTAGAAAGTAGTTCAAATGCAATATAATTTAAAGTACGTTGTGTTTTATATTTATTTACCTGTTCACCGAGAAGTGTTAATTTTCGATGCTTCTCTTCCTTCAATTGTTTTATAACCTCCTTCTGTTGTTCTTTTGGTGTGGTCTGGAGAATTTGTGCCTTATAGCGTTTATATTGTTTTGTCTGAGTTTTGCAAGTTTCGCGGAATTGTTTACGGATTTGCAGTTCTTTTTGCTAAATTAAAAGTGTAAAAAAAAATTATGCACAAGAGTAATAAAAATTCAACAAACGTTGATTGTAAATAAGTGGAAATGGGTCGTGCAAATTGGCATTAAATATATTAATATTTTTAGAAACTTATAACCTCCTTAATGAGCACTTTTAGAGTTGTGGTTGTAGTTGCTCGCGTTTTTGTAATTGTACTTTGAAGCAAATTTGTGCATGCTGATTATATTCTATGACTACATTTTTTTTAAATATATTTTTTCATAATTTTATATATCTGCTGACGTTAGGTATTATTTATTTAGTTATCATATATAAAGAAGAATTGTGAAGTTAGTCTGTGATGTATACAAACCTTTAAACTTTTAGGATGTTGTCTGATTTCAAGAGCGTGTTTCCGCAGGAGTTCTTTTTTAACTCGCTCCATATAGTCATTTTGATTCTTCAGTTCCGTATCGTGCTGAGTGTTTATCTGTAAAAGGATTATAGAATTAACTATGTCGCCACATCAGCATAAATCAGAATTAAATAACACAAAATTGAAATGTCGTTTCAATGTGAGTAATTTCTATTCTATATCGTTTTTTTCCTTGTCCTGTAAATAGATGAACTGTTTTTTTACGTTATTTTCCATTTTAGATGACAATATTTATTTCTTATACCATAACGAATCTTTTACTAAACTATATGAGCTAAGAATAACAGTTTCACCTCGTCCAAAGATTTTTCTTCTTACGACGCTAAGTGCAGCACTGATGTTTACTATTTGTAACTAATGGATAACATCATAGTGACTTAAAAAGGGGTATTTAGATATATCCCTAAACAGACAACGTCATAGTGTCGCAGTTCTTTGTATTTTTCCTAATACCAAATACCTAATGAAGTAATCTAAAACATGATCGCGCTTGCAAGGATGCTAAGAATTGAATGCCAATGAGAACTAATTAAATATTGATTTCAAAATTTATTTCCGTATAGATTCGTTTCCCCTTCTACTACTAGAGAGATGGATAGATTATTATTAATTTATGCACTGAGACCTGCGGTGGCTGCAGTTGTTGTCAAGTGTCATCGAAAACACTTAGTGGTAGGTCCCTAAAACAGGCTGATTCGAGGGGGTCGAACCAAAGGAAGAGGTGCGTTGAGGTAGTTAGTGTCATTCGAGGACTCTTTGCACTAGAGGACATATGATTTTTATGTCAGTGTCCTTTCTGGATAAGTGGAAGCTTAACCTGCTGCAGCAGTCAGAACGAAATTGTGCTGATTTATACCTCTGCTCTTCAACAGGAATAAGCTAGGGGCCAACGATGCAGTGTGCTTCCTAAATGCATATTCGCATCATAGATTTTTATTTCTGCGTTCACAGAACCAGTTTGCATACTAGACAATCAGCAGAAGAAGCTAAATCGGAATCGAATAGGTGCTGGGGGCGGTTTATAATTTAAACTATATAGTATAGTTAGTATCTAGCTCCGTATGGATACATTTTCTTACCTGCTCCTCGCGAAGCTGATGTACACTTTTTTGCTGACGATATTCTAGTTCCTGCGTTTTTTCATGATGTTTCAGCAGAATAGCATGCGCTTGCTCCAACTGATGTTGCTTTTTGCTTAATTCCTAGAAATATGAAAGTTCACATTAGCCTAAGAAGATGTAAGATATGTGGAGTTGTAATGACTTACATCACGCAATAACTGGTCTTCGAGCTCGTGAAGAGATATTAGGCGTCTTCTTCTAAATTTCCGCATTTCCAAGTCGATATACTGTTTTTGTACTCTCAGCAAACGTTGTTCCTCTTGTGCTTCTGCTTGCTTCAAGTTGTCTTTCTGTGATTGCAACGTCAAGTCACGTTGCCGTTTCGGCGTCGATTCATCCATCGATAGTTCACGTTTCCATCGTTCTTTATTTGCCTTATACTCCTTTTTGCGATTTAAATCAAAGGCTTTACGTTCACTTTCCTGTTTCAAAGAAATCTCCTTGAAAAGTTTCTTTTCCGCCGCGGTTGTTTGCTTTTGACGACGTTCTAAGTCTTGCTGATGCTTCGCCTAAGAAAGTAATAAACAAACAAAAAAAAAACATGTTAAGAGAGAAAATTTCACAATGAAAATTACAGATCAAATTCGAACCTCTAAGCGCTCCAATTCCCGTGTGAAGTTGTATAACAGATTATCGTATTCCTTATCTAATGCTCCCTTATGAGCCTCCATTTCCAATTTACACCTCTCTTCGAGCTTCAGTAACGCAGCTTGATGCTCGCGACGCATTCGTTTATAGCCAGACATTTGTTCATGCATTTCCTCCTGCACAACAGGTAAAGAATAATTATTTCACTGCGGAAATTATGCGACTAATACAATGCAGGACTAAACATATTGAACTGATTGTCCCAATTATCCCAATATAAGAAACCAAAAACAATAACACATAAAATTGTTTGATAGCTAACGTAAAATACATTTACTTCAATAATCTTTATTTTTCGAAGAATTAAGTAACCGAACGGGATTGGACAAAAATTCACGAAGATATACATATAGTGAATTTGTTTTGAGTAACCGGCTTTTTTGATAACGAAATCCAAAATTGTATAACGTTCAATTACGAAAAGCTTTTCCACTCAACAATTTTAATTCGATTAAAAAAAGCGTTGTCTATCTTTTGATGAGCTTAACTGAAAACTCAGCAATGAGAAAATCATGTCAAACAGACAATAGGCGGTTAGAGCCAAGTAACTTTAATGTTTTTATTTAACGCACAAATCTATAGTTTTAGATAGCGAATGATTCCATTTCAGTTCAGTATGCTTTGTTGGATTCTCTACATATTCACTTTAATGACACTTTCGGAATGCGTTTATTTTATACAGGATTTGATGTAAGCACTGTGCCAACACGCTATAATTATTTTAACCCTTTAAAAACTACAATTCTATGATCCTAATAAATTGAATATTTCATAGGGATTATGAAATAACATTCATCCATTCGTACAAATGAAATTCCGTTCTACATGAAAGTCTACCATGAATACGGATTATGAAAAATATGCTCCGAGAACTAATGTAAATTTTTAATTTCTAGTCAAGTTATTCTTACATCGCAAGGTATGAAAAGGAAAACAATATTCCTGATTCTTCTATTTTTAGAAGCACGGTAGTTGATCACTTTATGTCTAATGGCTAGTTAAGAGCTTTAAATATTAAAAACAAACATTATATCCGAAAATTTCATACTCTTGCAGCTTGAAAGGATTAAAGCGTGCAAAGTTTTATCCCGTTATTATAATTGCATCTTGATTTGTACGCTCGAATGGAAAGAATGAGATGGAATTTAAAATTGTTTTATATGGGAAGTATGTGTGTCTGACGAATGCCTTATACCAAATTTGGTTGAAATCGGTCGGGGGTCTCGAGATATGTGTTTTCACCTAAAAGTAGGCCGTGCCGCACTGCATCAAAGTCCTATTATGTCATCTCGCTTGTAAAAGTTAATGTCTCAGGCATTTTAACAGTAACAGGGACTGAGCGGGTTTATCTTCAAACTGTCAATAGGAGTTCTTATAATATTTGTGCTAGGTTGTTGTAGATTAAGTGATTTAAGATATATATAAATTAAACTTATTAGAGTGTGGCTCCACGAATTTTTCAAAATTCCAAAAAATTCCCTGAGCTAAATTACAGTTTATATCTTTCGGTTAATGGCCTTTGTGGGCGTGACAGTTGTCCGATCGAAACCATCTATAAACTCGGTAATTTTCTTTTTGCCAAGGAACGCGCACACGAAATTTCACCAAAACTCGCTTAGATTTAAGTGCTATTTGCAATCGTTTGGTGAGCAAAACTATTATACTCTGTAGCAACATGTTGCAAGAGTATAAAAATACGTCAAATTTCGTTTTGTTTTTTCTTAACGATCTATTAAATATAACTAAGCACTAAAATCAGGTTCTAATGTCTCATTTTGGGCGCAAATTATACGAATAATCGTTAACATTCAAATTTGGTCTGCACATATTAAGAGTATCAAGAAATATGCAAGACAGTGAACAGTTCCTCAGCAAAACAAAAACTTTATAAGGTACGGATCGAGTAGAAGGACTATTGACTGGTCCTCATTTAGTGGAATGAATTAGTAACAATATTTTCGGACTTAGCAATAGCAACGTGTTCATTAAATACAAAGCGTTATACAAGAATACCTTAAATTTTATAAGCACACAAACAAAGCACATTTAATCAACAAACAAAAACGATACCAATGAAATGCATCAGATGGTGGGAGATTAAGATACTTATACTGTTCCAAGACAAGAAGTACTTATAAATTACAAGCATGAAGCAAAATAGAAGCCCACACCCCTATTAAGAGTTTTATCAAGCAAATTGGGTAAACTGCAGGATGATTTAAAGTGCGTCTTGTCTTTAATTTGATAGCTTAGAAACATCAGCACCTGTTAAGGTATTTGAGAACTCCGTATGAAGTCGCATAAATAAATAATACTGATTATAGTTCATATCTCATAATGGATGGGAAGAGGTTTAACTTAAAATTCGGCAGTTTTGTTACTGGAAAAGTTATTGTGGGCCATCTGGGTTCTAATTCGGCCAACTTGCGATTTCAAAATTCGTCTTTTGTGGAAATTTTCAACTCATTTATGAAATTGTACAGTGGCCACTTTTAGCGCATGTGGATGGACACAGAGCATAGGAGTATGGTTCCTATTAAGAATAATGTCGTATTAATTTCAGTTTGCTTTGTGTTTTTCACATATTTTAAATGAATCAATGAGTCAATGAAACGGTCTTTGTAAACAACTTTTGTAAATTTGGCTTAAAAGAAAATTAAATAGTGTATGGGCTTGGCTAAAATAATAGTATTCGAATTGTGTTATTATTACTTTTCTTAAATTAACTTAAAAAATAAGAAGAAAACATCATAGTGATTAAGTCAGTGAAGAAAAAACTAACAGTAAACGAGGATATAAAAAAAAAAAAAATAATAGAAATCCTAAGATTATAAATATAAGTTTTATATAAACAGTTGTTTAAAAAACTAAAATTTAACTCCATACACATTTTTACTGATTTCAAATAACTTTGTTGGCTGTTGTTCAAATATAAATGCTGGGTATCGCATGAATAATACAATAAAGTTATTGAAATCATATTATTTAGAAAATGATTAAATGGCGAGAGATACATAACCAAAACCAACTATCTGATAAATGATTTACCTGCATATGTTCTTTCTGTTGCTTTGTTACAATACTTGTAGTCCGAATAGTGGCAAAATTGTTAGGTCCATGCTCATTGACGGCATTAGAGATGGCTTGCTGTGACGATGCAGCATATACTGCGGCTGCGGCGGCAGGTGATGACAAATAGCGAGGCATTCGATCGCCAGCACCACCCGCACTGCCCACGCAAACACCGCTTGCTTGAGATAACATGCCTGTTCCCATATTCGCTGTAGCAGCAGGGGAACCCCCTCCTGCTGAATGACTTGCGGACGATACAGGCATCATAGGTGCTGGTACAACGGAAGTCGAATTTGTTGGTGTAACATTATTGTTCATATTGTGCATTATATTAGGTAGTGGCGGCAGATTTCTTTGTCGTGATGAATTTCGTGCCGCAACTCCACTTGCAGCCGCCGCCGCCGCCGCCGCCGCCGCTGCCGCTGCCGCAGCAGCTGCTTGTTGCTGATAATTCACAGCAATATGCTGCTGTTGTGTCAATATGTGATTTTGAGTGGTGGGAATAGAATTCGACGAAGAGCTCTGTAAAAAAAAATGGAAGAAATTAATGACGTACTTATGCACTTAAAGTAAAGTTGGGATTGCTGTACTACTTGACTACTGGCCGCCGACACACCCACCGAATGTATGGAGTGTTCTGAAGTAATACTATTACTCTTGCTGCTATCACCGCCAGCATGCTCATCCTGTGTATCGTCCGTATCGCCTATGGCGCTCTCAGTCTCGCAGGTATCGACCATTAGTATTTTTTTCATTTTACGATAATTTAAATTATCTAATTCACGTACTGCAGCTTTTGTACGAGCTATCAATTCCAGCAACACAATGTCTGAACGTGGCTGTGTCAAAAATTCGTGTTTTAGCAATTTCGTTGACGAAGGTCGCTCCACAGGCATTTTTTTTAGACACAATTCAACAAAATTGCAAAATGTATCTGACCATTCATTTTTCTGCAAAATATATTTTAGCCATTTAAAACAAGTTCAAATATTAATATATATATGGTTTTTCTTACGGATAAATTTGGAGAATCATTTTGAGCAATGTGATAAAGAGCAGACATTGCATTCATGTTAAAATATGGTGGTTTCCGTTCAGCCAATTCAATGCAAGTAATACCCAAGGACCACACATCAACTTTACCATCATACTGACCCTCATCCATAGCTAGAATCACTTCCGGGGCCATCCAATACGGAGTGCCCACAAAACTGTTAGCTGGACACTTAATAGCAGCGCTACCGAAATCCGCCAATTTAACAATACCATTATCTGTGAGAAGAATATTGCCCGCTTTTATATCTCTATGTATGCGCCCCAAACTGTGTAAGTAACTTAAGCCGTTCAGAACGCCATCACATATCGCAGCGATTTCGTCCTCGTGTAAAGGCTTCTTATGTACTTCAATAATATCTGAAGCCGAGCCAACACAATATTCCATTACCAACCACGCTGTTGATTCACGTAGATAACAGCCCTTGTATTCTATGGTATTCGGATGATTCAATTGACGAAGAAATCTAAAAAATTAAAACAAATTAATATATTAGTGGTGTACTATAATAGTTTTGAATGCACATTTAACCTGATTTCTTTAAGAATATCCTGCCATTTTTCAAGGCTCTGTTTGCCCAAAAAGGACATCTTTTTAATGGCCACGATTTCTTTGGTAAGATTGCATCGCGCATAATAAACAGCGCCAAACGAGCCATGACCAATTTCACGCAAGTCCTCGAATATTTTTTCTGGATCATGTTTATAAAAAAGATCGGCAATTTCCGGATCCTTAAGACTTCCAGGACGTGCAGGTGGCATCGTTGTTCATGTTATTTTCCTCAGAGAAGGTGCTTACGATTTCTAATATTTCTTGTAATGTTGTTTTTACTGCACCTTCACGATTCTAAATGATTAAGAAATGTAAACTATAATCATATATATAAGAACGAGGAGTTAGCATTTTAATGCTTTAAGAACTAATAACTATATAGGGATAAATACATTATCGGAATATAAAGCGCAACGTTAAGTTAATTGAAATTATTTTTATTTAATAAGTTTAATAATTGCAGTTTTTAAAGAGTTATTGGATATATTTACATTCTTCCAATACCTATACAATATTTTTTTTCACGTTCAATGGGTGCGTCAACGTCGGCGCCGTTGCTTTTTTACGTTGCATCTTACTACTTACAATACGAACGAAAACTTGCATGATAACACGAAGAGGACAGTTTAGAAAAACATCACTTTTGGTAAATTAAACCGATAAAAATAAATTTGTATATTTTAAGGAAAATATATACGGCAACAAAATCTGATTAATTAAAAGAGAAATATAAAAAATAGTTTTCAGCATACATAAAAAAGATAAAATATATCTTAATCCATATCTCCATCACCCTGCTCCATATACAAACCTACACATTTGCCCACACATTCGTCATTCACCACTAATTCTCCACTCGCGTTTTCTTATCGCTTTGGCACCCCCGATTTCGTTTTTATGTAACTTTAAGTCAACTATATACACTATATCTCTACTTTTTCTTATTAGTTATATTATTGCTCCAGATTTAGAAAATTTAAAATACGTTTCTTTATATATCTAAGCTCTGACACCGTCGCATACCCTGTCTCCAATAGTTGAAAAATACATAAACGCCTTTTCTACCACACTTGATACGAAGACGTTAATTTATTCCCTCTTGATGTTGTTCTTTTAATATCATAACTGCAACAGTACAAGTCATACCTTTCCATTTAAATCAATCACAAATCATATGCAAATACATATCACTATATATTTTTAATAAAAAACATTCGCAATCTTTAAAATCTGGTCTAAATTCCAATCCAATCTGAAAATTGAAACAGACTTAGTCTTCGCCTTCTTGAAATTTTCTATGCACCCAAGTGGTGAAAAGGCAAAACAAAATGGCGAGTTTTAAAGTATTATTGCCAGCTTAAAATATGTTTATTAAATAATTTTGCTTTTGTTTAATAAGTAATGTATTTAACAATTACATGTCTGTTTTACTGATATCTCATTTATTTCGATATAAATGTTATACCCTCTAAAAGTAATGTTAAAATTTGCAATCTTTTTATTAGTCCTTAAGCATACGCTTAGTAGCCTGTTCTATCAAAGATTTTAATGAAAAATACCAATAGTGGCAGCCCGTATTGACAAAACTATTTGAGACTGCTGTATATTCTCTTATGCTTTCATCTATTTTCCTTTTTAAATATCTGTATTAGGGTTCAGGCTAAGTAAATATTCTATCCCCAACAAAATTTCCGTCTTAACAAGTCTGGCTTTCTACTTTCCTCGCTTTACGAGACAATTTATACATTAACAACGAATCGAAAAGCAACCGGTATCCACATTGAACGTTACGCTATATATGGTGTTACTATCAGGCTTGGAAGAAATTTCGTTTAGCTATGCTGCATATTACTTTGATTTGAACGTATTCCTATAAAATCATATACCCAACTTTTCTATCAAAACAAATGTCTGACACAAAGCGAAGCAGAAGCTCAGTAGGGGTGAATGAATGAATGAATGATGATGAGGAATGCACTGCGACCTTTGGTCTATTGTGCCCTCTCCTTACTCACATTGACTCGCTTAGCCCCAGCCCATTAATGAAGTCCAGTAGACTGCTTGGCGTTAGCGAGGCAATGCGATCCCTATCCGGAAACAAAACTCCAAGGGCCTTGGCTCTGCGTCTACAGACTGCTGTGCAGTCGATCAACAGATGCTCCGGAGTTTCAGGCTCCCTGCCACAGAAACGGCAGTTGGCGCAAGTTGATAGGCCCATGCTGTGCAGATTCCTATTCAGCTTACAGTGGCCAGTATACCATGCGACTAACAGCCTGAGTTTGCTCCTGGGGAGGTTTATTACGATTTTGAACCTTTTCAGGTTGTAACCTCCCATTAGCAGCTTGGCGTGTCTCATACTATGAGTTTGTCGCCAATGCTCTTCCCTGCCTGCTCTTTCCTTTTTATGGAGCAGCTCCTTCATGGTGTGGGGACCCACTCCCGTAAAGGGTCCGGGTTCTACCATCCTGGTGGAGGCTGCGGAGCGGGCGAGCTTGTCCGCCAGTTCATTGCCGGCTATACCTTTGTGACCAGGCACCCATATCAGGTGTACCTGGTTTCTCTCCGCAAGCCTATTCAGCCTCTCCCTGCACTCCTGCACTAGAAGCGACTTGATCTCGTAAGAGGAGATCGCCTTTAGCGCCGCTTAACTATCGCTAAGAATGACTATACGCTCAATGCGATAGTTGCGATGGAGGTTTATTTCTATGCACCGGCTTATAGCATACACCTTTGCATGGAAAATGCTCGTTAACTCAACCAAGGGTACTGGGAGCCTAGTGCGTGGGCCCACAATTCCTGCGGCGATTCCCTCCGACATTTTAGAGCCATCTGTGTACCACCTCATAGTACTGTTCCTCAACATCCGCTCGAGGTTCGAGTCGTTCCAATAGTCTTTGCTGCCGAGGTTAACCTTAAACCTCTTCCCGAGGTTAACCTTTTTAGTAATACTATCCCTCGGGAGGAGGACCAGTGGTAACTTGCCACTTATCTTCTCCATCCTCTGGGATGAGACTGTTTTTCCTTTTCCACACCCCTCTGCCGTTATTTGCGGAAGAGTGTGTTTGGCTACCAGACCGATGACCAAATGAAGCGGAGTAAGCTCAAGAAGAACCTCCAGTACTGCCGTTGGACAGGTTCGCACTGCCCCCGTCATGCAGACACAGGCCAGCCTGTGCAGTAATTTTCTCCTAACCGATGTTTGCGACGCTACTGAGGCTCAGGCTACCGTCCCATATGTGATTATCGGTCTTACTATCATGGTGTACAACCATCTAACTATCCTTGGCGCTAAACCCCAGGACCTTCCTGCCAATCGATACACACCATTAAGGCCTTTGTCACCTTGACCAATGTCAGGTTTACGTGCTGCTTCCACCTCAGCGTGGAGTCTAACGTTAAACCGAGGTATTTAAAACTGTTGGTCATCCCTATTTCACTACCCCCCAGTAGGAGATTCCTAAGGGCGGGTAGGGTCCTGCGTCTCGTAAATGGGATTACAGACGTCTTGGAGGGGTTGATATTTAGTTCAACCTCCCTAAACCACCCCTTCGCTAGGTTGAGACCTCTTTGGATCAAGTCACAAAGGGTGTCTTCAAATTTCCCTCTTGCCATAATGACAAGGCGGTCCGCGTACCCTTGGCAGTGGGTCCCATTGTCTGTTAGCAGTGTTAGCAGTTCGTCCACCACTCCATAGCAGGGGTGATAACACACCCCCCTGTGCACAGCCTCTTGTTGTGCCGACACGAATACTGCTATCACCTACTGTGGTCTCAGCAACCCTTGAGCGCAGTACGGCTTCTATCCACCTACGCACTGGTGCCGCCACATTCCTTTTCTCCAGTGCCCTTGATCACCTTCGCTGTCCTCCATACCTCAGGGATGTACGCCATTGCGAGGCTTTCTCGCAGCAGCCGAACTAGGTGGGGCAGTAAAAGCTGCTCCCCCTGTTGCAACAGCGCCGGAAAGGGGCCATCCACTCCCGGAGACTTAAAACTCTCAAAAGAGGGTAGCGCCCACCGGATCGAGTCCGCCGTAAGCAGCTGTTTGGCAATACTCCAATCCTCGCGGGATGGCCTGTGTTCGATCACCGGTGGACAGTGGTCCTCCCGAACTGTCTCCGGRAAGTGCGCCCTCAAAAGCTCCATGGCCCTGTCCTCCGCACTGGTCGTAAATGTCCCATCGTCACGCTTGATTGCTATTTCTACTCCCTTAGTGCCCCTAGCCAGAGCTTTGTGCAGCCGAGCCGCTTCTGGCGTGGTGGCGACATTCTCGCTGAATCTCCTKAAGCTGGCCTGCTTTGCAGACCTAATCTCCTTATTATATAAGGTGAGATAGCTTGGGTATTTTGCCCAGACCCCTGTACGTTTCGCTCTGTTAAACTGGCTGCGTACTTTCTTGCGGAGGTCCGCTAGCTCCTTTGTCCACCACGGACAGACTCGTCTGTCAGTATGCGCTTTGAGGGGACAACTGCCATGATAAGCATTAATTACAGCCTCATTTAGTTTAGAGAGCCTATTCTCCAACCCAAGGCCTGAAACGCTATCATCTGTCTGCTCCCTTCTGCTTAAATAATTACCTAATATATCCCTGAAGGCGTTCCAATTTGCCCTCCGAGGGTTGCGTCTAGGGGGGAGTTGTTTAACCTCTACCTTTAGCTTGAACCTTATGATCCTGTGGTTTGACAATGAGGGCTCCGTCGAGACTCTCCATTGCGAGACCAGTCCGCCTGCAGGTTCGTTGCTAAAGGTGATGTCCAACACCTCCCTTCTACTTATAGTTATGAATGTGGGTTCACACCCTACATTCTCTATTTCCAAATTGCTACCTACAATGAACTCTAAAAGAGACTCACCTCTTGTGTTGCAATCGGTACTGCCCATTCCGAGTGGTGAGCGTTATCGCCGTAGCCTATGATGAGGGGGAGCCTGTGCCGTCTGCAGTACTCTACCAGCCTTTCCACCATCTCCGGGGGCGCTGTAGGTGCCTCCCCTGGGAAGTATGCTGAGGCCAGGACGAAGGAGTCGAGGCCTAACCCGTCGAGGAGCTCCTGCGTGGAGGGTAGTTCATCTGCGCGACCTCCTTTGGGGACGCCGGTAGTCGCAGGGCTGCTACGACACCTCGTTCACCTGCATACCTTCTACCTCCGGGCCTGCTATAGGCACTGCCGGTTTGTCAGATCCTTTGCTCTGGAGAGTTGCAGGCATTGCTGCTCCCGGTGGCTGCAGGCCTGTTGGGCCCTATGACCACCGTGCTGAACCTGTAGTACAGGCGGAAGCTCGCTGCCAGGACGTACCTGTACGACCCATCGTCGATGTACAGGTTGAGCCTCCATCCTTTCATACCTCCGATCTTCTCCATTTTGCTGCTCACGACGCGCCAGGACGAGATGCTGAGTCCCCGGTTCTGGTTTTTCACCAGCCCCAAGGCGAACTCCTAGGGCCTGTCCCCGCACCGAGGGAGGAACATCGTCATGCTATGCATGATTGGTAAACCTTGCGCCCTCTTCGCGCAAAGAACAGGGCCCTTCCAGCCTCCGAGCTTTGGAGCGTACTCCTTCAGGCAGTCGGCGGACGCCTCATCCACGCAATCTACTTGCAGCACTTCCTCCATGAGGAGATCCTGGAATACTGTGAGCTCCTCTGGTGTAAACGACTCCACCGGGTAGCTGAGAGGTAGTACAGCCATGCGAATGCCTTTTACAGCGTCCGCATATCTACGCCGCCCCTCCTCCACCCGATGGGGAGCCGGTCCAGATTGTTGCTCTCCGGGTGCCTTTGGGTTTGTGCCCCTCAACCTTTTAGAGCTGGTGCCCTGTTATCGCCACGCTTTGCGGACTGGGTGGTACTGATCGGGCCGCGGTTGCTGCTCCCACTACCTTGCGCGCGAGCCGACACGTTTTTAAGCTCCGTTGCCGTGGATGCGTTGCATCTTTTCCTGGCCACAGCCTCTGCCACCTCCGGGGTCATCCCATCTCGTCTAGCTCCCTGACGCCCTTTGTCTGCCGCTGCACCGATGTCCTTTTCGTTGTCCAAGTCCGTTTTCCGAGTTTGTCGCCTATTGTCCAGTTTTTCCGAGTTTGTATTATTGTTCTTATTCATCTTGTTTTTACGACCCTTGGCTCAACGGGGTGAGCTGTYGGRTCTATCAATTTATATGGGGAACTAGAAGGTCCGCCACGCCAGAGCCCCATGACGCGGGAGTCGCATAACACCCTGGATTAGGAGGTAGCAGCTCTTGGTCACCGTCACCTCCCATGGTCATTGCTTACTACCACCAGCCGCACAGGTTGGGGGGCGCCGAGTATGCCTTGCGCCTAAGCCCCTGCACCGCGGCAAGGTGCCTACCATTAGCAGAGGGGTATTCGCTTGCTCTTGCAAGATTGTAGATTGCAAAAATACTATATCGAAATATACAAGGACACGAGAGCACCCATTGCAGAAACTAGTGATATAAGAACGGCTGATTCGATCAATTTATTGTGAATGACTATTATGCATGGCTATTGTGAATTGGCGCACCTTCTGCATACATTTTTAACAAAAAAAAACTGTAACAAATCTTTATAATTTAAGTAGAAATTATATATATATATTATATAATTATAAAATCTATTTAAAACTTACCCTGTCTCTTATACACATCTAGATGTGTATAAGAGACAGATATAAAAAAAATTAAAAAATATAATATCAAAATTTTGAATCCATATACTTGCCAGTCACATTAGCCAAAAATTTGTAAAAAATTAAGCTTACGATTGTACTATATATGATATTATATGAGTTAATTGTAGTTCTGTTCGATCACCTTTACATAAAGGTCTATAATTTTTCATATATTTGTGTTTTTACTTCCTTAACCAATGTTATGTAAAAATTAATTCTAATTTCTGTTTTAAATTAAACAAAATTTATTTATTTACTTATTTATTTAACAAATTAACGTCAATCGGCAATATAAAACAGTTACTTTTATAAGTAAAAGAAAAAAAGAGAAAAAATATAATAATAAGGGCAATTGTATTAAAATGATCAAATTAATGGTATGGAAGGAGTTTGACCTTTATATTATTGATGAATGAACTGAGGGAGCCTCCATAGAAAGCGATGTTCTGGTGAAGTGAATTTACATGGTTAGCAATACAGTTGTGAATTCCATGGAATACGTAGTTTCTGTGTCTTTGTTGTTTTAAGTTTCCGCGATTGTCTCAGCGAGAATGCCGTAGGAGCAAACTCAAAACTACCAAGAATCTCTGGGGCATCAATTCGGTTGTTAGCCAGTAAAAGACTAGGTCAGCGACTTGACGACGTGTAGCTAGGCTGTTGATTTTATAGCGTGAACGAATATCATCAGTGGAGAGTACCTGCGACCTCAAGGTTGTATGAAAGGATATAGACTTACAGAATTTATTTTGGACCTTCTCCAGTTAATCGAGACATCCGTGTGAGGAGACCAGACTACAGTGCCGTACTCAAGTATGGGTAGAACNATTATATAATTATAAAATCTATTTAAAACTTACCTTCCTCAACAATTTAACGACGTAATATGTCTTTATGTAAAATGACAGCTAAAACAGGGTTGCAATCATATTTTTGCGTGACATTTTACGCAAATATATATGAGTTTTTGTCTGACATACTATATTTTACAACCATTGCAAATAATTTGCTGCGTGACGTAGTTCAAAAATTATTTATAATACACACTCGTCATATTAGAAATACTTGTAAGGTTTATAGGTCTTTCGTTGTTCCTGGTAGCTTTTTCGTTAACACTACCAACGAGTTACTGCAACAAAACTTTCTCTGTATGAACACAGTATTTGTAATTCATTCTTGTCCTACCGTACTGTTATAGTAAAAGTTTTTAATAATTTCCCGTGTGTTTTCACGGTATTCCCTTACCCATATGAGCTAAAAATATGTATGGTAAAAAATATTAAAAATATATATAGTATTTGAACGGTATAATATAATGTACAGCGGTAACGCGCTTTGTAAAATCAATGAACAGAATGACTGGTGAACGTCTGGCAAGACTTTAGAAATAAACGAACAGCACTTGCCAAACCATTGCAATTTCACCTCAGTTGGAGATTATCAAGCAAATAGACATGACGAAAAGTAAATTTTTATTCAGTGTTGGAGCACTATTATTTCTAATTTCTATATTTAATTCGGGTACAGCCAATAAATTTGATGGAAGTAAGTGCGCATTTACAAGTTTAAATCAACTTCAGTAATTTTTATCCACACCATAATTCGAATAACTAATTAAAAGTGAAAATATTAAGATGTGTTGGTGTAAAATTAGGTGAATAAGGAAATGATGAAAGCAATAAATATGATTGCATTAAACGCAAAATGACAATAAAATACAAAAAGAATTAAACCTTTTTAAGGTTTGATGGTGTGGTTTATTTGTGGTTGCGGTGGAGATAGTGGCAAAATTCAATTTCTATAAGACATACTATAGTAATAGAAATGGCAGTTATTACAAGTGACTTCCTAATATATACAAATTCATTATTTCCTTGTAAATATGTTGACATAATTCGGAAACTTAACATAATAACTATTTATAAGAGTGGTGTTATCAATAGTTATTTTTTTTAAAAATTCTTAGAGTTAATGTGTTTAAATTATCTTGTGGTTAGGTTGTAATATTGAAAACAATCTATAAAATAGGTAAACTTATTCACATAATTATATTAGTCACATTTCATTGATTTAGGCATTTATCAAAGTAAAATTAACACTTTAACAACACATTACCATTTATAAAACAGGTGACGTTGCTGGTTGTTTTCTGTCTCTTATTAGAATATTCTTTTCTTTGTTAATCAGTTTACGTTTCTGCTTATAAGTATCATATATATGTATGTTCAGACATGAAACTGAACTCTGTATTTATACCTTTATAATTGAACTGAATGATAAATAAGATAACAATACTGCGGGAAATTTTTGTTCTTAAACATATCCATGTGAAAAATATCAGGTATGAAACAATTTTTCTTTGTGAGTTTGGGAAACATATTTCTTTGAACACATTATAATTTAAATTTTGAGAAATTTTAATTTTAATTGAGAAGCAATGTTAAAAGAATATACACTAGTATGTACATATACATATATATAGTGTGCCTAAGTAATTACAAGGCACGGATATACGAATGCTTAAGTAGAAAATACTTTTATAATTTATGCTCTATTTACCACAATATGTATAGTAGTTAAAAACACATTACAGTAATATTGGTACGAAATCAATTTGTAAATGATGTGCATAGTTCCTCAAGTCTAAAACTTATCGCTTGGTCTGACCAATGCATACAAAATATACGAAAACAATGCGCTGAATTTGAAAATTTCCAGCTTATTAAATCGGAACACTTTGTAAATAAAATATTAAGGTCTGGTTCCGAGATAAAATCCTTTTTGACCTGCTCTACTATTATGACCGTTTCTATCGAATCTATTCTGTTTATTCGTGTTCCTCATATAAGAAATCTATTTAATATTTATGATTTAAAATGGCAATCCTCACAAATAAATATTATCCCAAAATCAACGAAAATTTATTCATGATTAAAACTTATTAGAATTTTCAGGAATATAATTTCTTAAGTTTTCTCATTAAATAGCTGTTTTCAGTATTGCAGAACGCATATGACAGAACAATAAACTAATCCAAGTAATATTTGCAAAAGAAAATTGTTTACAAATTCTTGAAAGTACTCGGCTCAATTCAGAGATTAAGCGTTACTTTTGTCATTTAAATCATTTCGTGACGCTCAGTCGTTTTCTTTTCTTTTTCCAAGTATATTTTTATCGCTTTGTTTCGCAAAAATATGTACACATATATTTCCCTATTTGTTGGGGCTTTCCATTACGTTGGATCGGTTAACTCTGCAACAGTTGGTTTTTACTTCTAATATTCATTGAAAAAAGAAAAATAATTGTTGGACGCGAAAAGTACTTTATGGCTGCATGATTTGTGTGATGAATCCAAAATTACATTTTTTGTTGTTACAACTCCTTTATCCACTGGAGGATGGTTTATTGGTATTTAAAAATTAAAAAATATAATATCAAAATTTTGAATCCATATACTTGCCAGTCACATTAGCCAAAAATTTGTAAAAAATTAAGCTTACGATTGTACTATATATGATATTATATGAGTTAATTGTAGTTCTGTTCGATCACCTTTACATAAAGGTCTATAATTTTTCATATATTTGTGTTTTTACTTCCTTAACCAATGTTATGTAAAAATTAATTCTAATTTCTGTTTTAAATTAAACAAAATTTATTTATTTACTTATTTATTTAACAAATTAACGTCAATCGGCAATATAAAACAGTTACTTTTATAAGTAAAAGAAAAAAAGAGAAAAAATATAATAATAAGGGCAATTGTATTAAAATGATCAAATTAATGGTATGGAAGGAGTTTGACCTTTATATTATTGATGAATGAACTGAGGGAGCCTCCATAGAAAGCGATGTTCTGGTGAAGTGAATTTACATGGTTAGCAATACAGTTGTGAATTCCATGGAATACGTAGTTTCTGTGTCTTTGTTGTTTTAAGTTTCCGCGATTGTCTCAGCGAGAATGCCGTAGGAGCAAACTCAAAACTACCAAGAATCTCTGGGGCATCAATTCGGTTGTTAGCCAGTAAAAGACTAGGTCAGCGACTTGACGACGTGTAGCTAGGCTGTTGATTTTATAGCGTGAACGAATATCATCAGTGGAGAGTACCTGCGACCTCAAGGTTGTATGAAAGGATATAGACTTACAGAATTTATTTTGGACCTTCTCCAGTTAATCGAGACATCCGTGTGAGGAGACCAGACTACAGTGCCGTACTCAAGTATGGGTAGAACCAGTCGGCGATATAGACATATCAATATGTAGGGATTGCGAAACTCTTTGCCTGTTCTCGTGATTAATCCAAGAACCTTGAAAGCTTGGAGTGTGATCTTGTCTATATGCTTCGACAACAGACTAGACAACAAACTCACTGTCTATGATGATGCCCAGGTCTTTGATGTCGGGATTTCTTGCAGGTTGTGACCGTTTAGTTTATAACTGGTGGCAATATTGCTGTGAGAGCGCGAGTACCAGACTATCGCGCATTTATTTGCATTAAGATCAAGTTTGTTATTAGTACACCAGGCCGTGAGTTTGTCAATGTCATCTTGAAGCAGCTGGACATCTAGTTCATTTTTGATGGATCTTGAGGACATCTGCGTAGAGCAGGTATTCTGACAGGAGATTTTTGACAATATCATTGACAAAGATGTAGAAAAGCAGAGGTCCTAGGGATCTGTTTACCAGGTAGGAATATAACCAATCCAAGCATTGCCGTCGACTCCGTAGACTTGAAGCGTAGAAACAAGAATTCTGTGATCTACACGATCAAAGGCTAGTCAGTATATATATGGAGTGAACCTTGGACCATCATTCAAAGTGTTGATTTTCATATTATCTCAATATATAAGTACAGCTGCAGTCAAATTCTTATTAGTGTGTAAACGTAGGCGATAAACTGTGAAAAGCCCCAATAGTAGGTAAAACAAATCATAAAAAAACTCATTGGTTAACCAAATTCAATGAATTATAAATACATATATGTAGTATATACAATAAATGTATGAGAAATTTCGGCAGTCAAAAACTTAATAGTGCAGAAAATTTAACCCGAAATTTCGGCAAAAGGGTAGTAAAATCCTCCTTCTTCATTTTCTTTCAAAGATTGTATATTGTATTTTTATGAATTTTGTATTTAGTTGCCAGACCTTTTTATTGAGTCAACAACTTTACATGTCTGCTTGGGATCGTTGTCCTGCTGGACAACGTCCAAACTTTCCTTAATCCAATAAATAGATCCTACAAGAAAAGCACGCCCAAACCAATATACTCGCACATCTATGTTTTACCGCTTTTGTTGTATATTTCGGCTGGTATTCGGTGTTGGGTGGACGTCTCCCGTATTGACGCGATCCTTTTCCGCCATACTTAACAATCTTCGATTTGTCCAACCATAAAATGTTCCGCAATTTTGTCGAAGACCAATTTAAATGTTCTTTGGCGAATCGAAGCCTTTGTTCAACAAGCGTTTGAGACAGTAACTAGTACTTGCAGCTCCATTAAAGGTATCTTTTTTCTGTAGCTGAAAACTGTTATGAAAACTGATTTGAGTATCTGGTAATGTAATTGACTGTTCCCACTGACATTTCTGGGTTCCTTCCACTTTTTTTTTTATTACTGGATTGGTACCTGATAGCGTTACGTATCATTGTGGTTAAGCAACCAATAATATTTTGGACTTCGACATTGATAAATGAACATTAAAATTTTAAAGTTAAAATTAAAAATTTAAAATAATAAAAAATTAGTCTCACCATTATTTTTAAATTTTCACCCAAAGTTTTTAGAAAATTTTAGTTTTTCAAACAATTCATTCACGCAATACTAAGATTTTGACTGACCGAAAACGCTTTGGAAATAAAAAGTCCCCCCATTGTAACTAAAACAGCAAGCCAAGCGAAACAAATCGTTGCATGTTTTCATATCAACATCTGGAGTTAACTGATTTTAAAGTGCATCTCAAAAAAAAAAAAAAAGGATGATCACATATATTAAAATAATGCCTAGCACTACTAAGAATTTGACCGCAACTGTATATACATATATCTAGCAATTTATTATCAAATCTTGTTTATTTGCTCGAAACCAAACCACAATAGATATACAGTTATATTTTATATAAAACTTGGCAGATCAGTACTGTGCCCAAAAATAATAAGGTGACATTGTATTTATTTTGAAAATTCTTTATTTATTCTTCCAAATAAATTTCATCCCCTTCAAAGTAATCCCCTCCCGATGCATAAGTGCGTTATGCCAACGGATTTTCCAATCTTCGAAACACTGGTTGTAGTCATTTTCCAGGATGGCGTTCAGTTCCGTCTTCGCTGCGGCTTGAATATCGTATAAAAACGGTGTCCCGGAGCGGTCTTTTGAGCTTGGTGAACAGCCAGAAGTCGCCCAGCGCAAGATCAGGTGAATATGGTGGTTGCGGAACGATATGGGTTGAGTTTTTGGCGAAATGATCACGAATTACGAGGGCAGTATGGGATGATGCATAATCTTGGTGTAAAAACTAAGAATTGTCTTTCCACAATTGCTGTATTTTTAGGCGAATAGCGTTACACAAACGACGCATAACGTTCAAATAATATTCCTTGTTGACTGTTTGACCGGTTGAAAGGAATTCATAATGCACAACACCACGATAATCGAAGAAAACAGTCAACATTCCTGGTAGTCGGAAAGCATCGTTTCACACACTTCAACGCTACGCCTTGTTTCCAAAAAATTCAATATTTTCGGTACCAGTCGGGATTTGACGCGCTTGAGGCCCAAAACATCCTTCAAAATGGTATTGGCTGAGCCTTTCGATGTGCCAACTTCATCAGCAAGGTCTCTAATTGTTAATCGATGGTTTTTCAACACCAAATCTTTGATTTGTTGAACGTGAGCTTTGTCGGTTGAGGTTGATGGTCGCCCTGGACGCTCGTCGTCTTCGACACGTTCACGGCCGGCTTGGAACTTACTATACCACTTGTAAACAGTTTTTTTTAGACATAGCCTCATCACCAAGGGCTTTCTGCACCATCCTCAACGTATCCGCAGCAGAAAATTGATTCCCTAAACAAAATTTAATGCAAATTCTTTGCTCACCAATTTTCGACATCGCAAAAAACGAAAAACTCACTTTTAGCAGTTCACAAACGAACGTTTTGACAGTACTACCAACCTAAAAAAAAATAATTCTCCAAATCCTTCGACGTCTCGTCTAGTGAGGCCTTAAATATTTTATACACCTGTAATCCTTACAAATGGGGAGACTATATTAAGCATGGTTACGCCCGAACTTTCTTCCTTGTTTTTAGTTTTTTTTTTTTTGTAGATACAATTGCACGATATTTTTATGTACAGTGTGTAAAATTCGGTCGTGATGACTTATGTGTAAATGTTTTCCGTTCTTTACTTAGATAACATCGTTTTGCTATAGGTTATTATGAAGGATTTGAGTAAATGTGGCTACAGAGTTTTCTCTAATTTTTTCAAGAAGCAAGTTTATGTTAAGGCAATTATGTACTACGCCTTTTTCAATTCTGGATTTTACAGTAGAAAGCAAATACTGGCTTTCTTAGATACTCATACAACTTCCAACTGCATACCTATAAAGAAGTATATGGAAATAAACATATATATATATGTATATACAACGAAACCAAAATAAATATAAAACTACACATGCTTACACACATACTGTCGTTTCGTAACAGAAATCAATTGTTTCAATTAAGACATGTCTGTGGCACTTTACGCTTCCTGAGGTTAATCGATCTTTTGTGAATTCTTATAAGATATTAGACATGTCAGGAATATCATAGAGTCTACGTTAGATTTTTAATAAGGGTTTTTTTTTGTTAGTTTCTATATTCTCTTGATAATAAATATAAACATGTATACATATATAGAAATGTTTGTTATGACTGGAATTCCGTCTACTATAAACTTGCGAATACCCAATTAACATTTTGAACCTACTAAAGCATGTCAATTAAATTCTTTTAAATTACAATAAAAAAATATATTTTATAGCCTTTTAGCTATTTTTAAATTATAGGTATTTATTTCGCGAGCTTATCATTAAATAAAATATCAGAATATTGAAATGCGTTTATTCGAAACTTACATAAACATCATATATACACAGTGAAATTTCTCAATGAGAACCGGACCGTTCCCATAATTGGACAAATTTCATGAACACAATGTTTTTATATAAAACCAATTGTCACAACCCGACATGAGTACGTTCCAATAACCGGACACCGACACTACTTTGGTAATATTTCGTTCAAATAATCTTTGATTTGTGATTTGTGTTGGGGCCATCCGGGCTAACTCATCGGAAACTAATGGAATAATTGTCCAAATAAATTCCATCACTCCTGGCTGACATTGGCTCGTATTTAGCATTTGCAGTATAAATATAGTTCTGAATTATAGACACGTTTTTGTCACGATCTCATATGTGGGCAGACGCTTCTTTCTATTTTTTTTTTCAATTCGTCGTCGTAATTCGTGGAGTTCGTCCATTAGCCAGCAGCGTAAGCGTCTAAGCGTCCTGCGTATTCCAGTTTACTGGGTGAAGTTTTGATTTATTTCTGAAGCTGAAGAACGCGGATTTTCTTTAATTTTTTCACGATAACGGCTTTATCACGGCTTTGAAGTTTTTCTTGTCGTTCTGATCGCTGTCCCAACTTCAGTGAATTTTTTTGCAAATTTCTGGGGATGATTGAAACGCTTCTATTAGGAAATTTTGACATCTCCTTTCTTCCGAAGATTGAATATTATTTTTTTCGAATATGGTTTCTTTTGATTTTTCTAATATTTTTCACAATTCAACGTATTTTTTATAAGCAAAGACAAAAGGACAGGATTCTACAAAATTGTTATTCAGACAACATGCATTTCTACGTATTGCTTAGAACGCTAGCAATAATAACGGCACTTTTGCACAATTTGGAGTTAGTAGATGGGCGTAATCAGACTACCGCCACGACCACAAATCGCTATTAACTGAGAACGTATAAAGTAACTAATATCAGGATTTTCGAACAAACAGAGTAAAAAGTTTTTTTGAAGTAATAATAAAGTTTCCAAAATAAAATATTTTCGGATTAATTTTACTAAAAAATTATATTTTCCGAATATTTTTGTGAAGCACTATAATTAGTTCGATGCTAAAAATAATATCAGTTACCCTTATTAGTTATTACTAGTTTATTTAGTTTTAAGCAGCAAATCATACATACAATTTAATTTCCATTTAAATCAATTTTTTAATCCCGATATTTAATTTAAAAAATTTAAATATTTTTTAAATATTATTTTAATTTTTAATCAATTCTAATTACAATTTTAAATTATGAATTATAATATATATATACTCGCTACACTGTTTTTAAGTAAAATATACGGCAATGGTCAATTGCTCACAGAAAAAATTGTGAATATAGAATCTTGTTCAAACCTTGGTATTAATTAAATATCTTAAATAATTCTTTTAATAACAAATCATTCCTTTCCTAAGCGTCGCTTCACTTTTCCGTTACGAAATTTTAGTCCAAAGGTCATTAAAGGTCCCTAGAAAGAGAGAACGCATTGTGAACGCTGAACGAGATTGTGTTCTGCTTGTTTCATGCTTCTCTTTCGGTTTTAAACGCTTCACGCATTTACATATAAAGAGTATAGTGTTTAAGTAGGGTTTACATTATTTTTGAATATAGTGTATGTCACCTTAGAAATAGTTGCCTATAAATATCTAAACGCATATTCGCGCAAAATATCGATTTTCTATTTGTTGCATATTATGGAAGTGATTTCACGTTAACCGAGTACATTGACAATTGCAAATACATAAATTCATTGGTGGCCAGATAATTAGAAACCATTTTTTTTTTAATTTTCAACAGTCGTTAGTGTACAACAAAGTAAAAGTATTTAAAATTGATTTTCTAACACTTAAAAAGAAAAAAAGTATAAATTGTGGTAAAATCGGTTTTAATTAATTGGCCACTAGTATGTGTTTTTGCCATCTTTTCACTTATATTAAATATCAACAAAATTTGTAAATAATAAAAATTTACAGTTTTTAGTATTGTTTAAATAATTGAAATAAACATTACTACTCCCTTTTTTAACCAGCTGAGCTGTACAGGGTGTCTCCGGAATCAAGTTCGCATTATGATGCACATATTGCTTTGGTGAAATTACGTGAGAAGCGCGACACACCGACAATTTATGCTAAAAATCAGTATGAAAGTGTGCCACAGAATGCAAATGCGACGATCGGTGATGTCAAAAAACCAGTGGAAACCGCCGCACCGTCGAATATATCATCGATTGTGGTGCCATATAAAGCAGTCGACATGCCCCTACTCGGCGTAAATGGTACTGGCCAGCGGAAGGATGCAGGCTTACAGTTGTCACAGCCAAAGACTACGATTGTTTCCGCTCCCATTCAGCCAACGGTAGGTGCTGCGGCTGCCTTGCCAACGGCACCTAAAAATTCCACATTATCGCAGGAAACTAAGGCCATTGATCAGCCGACTGAAACGCCAGAAGAAAAAGTTTTAGATAGCGTTGACGTGCCTGATAACGAAACTCTCAGTGAAATCCAAAAAACTAGTTATACAGTCAATTCTACCAATGTAAGTAGTTTGCTTGTAAAACAACAATAACCACTTTGGATAACTAATTTTCTTACATTCTTTCGATAGGACCATCACACCTACTATAATAGCTCCATTTATGTCGACCAAGCAGAAGCAGATCGAGTGTGGGAATCTGTCAAGAACTCTTCATTCAATTCCATGCTCTCGCAATCCCATCGTCGTGCCATGGTAAGATTAAAATGATAAAAGCTGATACAATAGCCAACGATGCGATCATTTTTCAGATGCAGCATGCTCCGCTTATTTAAGTATTATGATTTGATTTATACTTATTATAATGAAAATGTAATTTGTATTTCATATATAAATACTAAATGAAAACTTTATTTTATATTATATTTTTTGATACTCAGACTGTCGAATTGAGTTTCGAATTCCCCTTCTATGGTCATCCCGTTCGAAATGTTACAGTAGCGACTGGCGGCTTCCTCTACACTGGTGATTATGTGCACTCTTGGCTAGCGGCAACCCAGTATATTGCACCGTTAATGGCTAACTTCGACACAAGTTTATCAAATGAATCGTTTGTTCGCACTAGGGATAACGGTATGAAATCAAATGCACAACTGTATATCATGATTCATTTAAATTTTTTTTTTCACGGTTAAGGCACTGCCTTCACTGTAATTTGGGAGAAAGTTTCGTTGCAAGACAAAAAAGACGTAGGAAAGTTCACCTTTAGCGCAACGCTCCATAAAAATGGCAATATTGTTTTCATTTATTACTATGTTCCAATCGATATTAATGCCATTCAAGACGATAAGCATCCCGTTAAAGTGGGTCTTTCTGACGCTTACATAATTGACAAGACCGTTTTCTGTAAGTAAACTATTTCGTAGCGACATAAGTAATGTAAACTCAAGCAATCGTTAAAATTTATTTTTCACATTTAGACACACGCAGGAAAACTATTTATGAATACCATCGCATAAATTTGTCTAATAATGGCATATCGAATGCAACTATCATTTACTTACAAGCCCTTCCGACTTGCCTTGATTATAAGGACTGCGCAGCCTGCATAAATCACAAGACTTCATTTGATGTAAGTTTTAACTTCATGTCCACTGGAATTAAACTCAAAATTGTTTATGTCCAATCTGAATTACTTTAAGTGCGCATGGTGTCCAACGCTAAATAGGTGCTCAACCGGCACAGATCGTAAAAAGCAAGAGTGGCAACATAAAGGTATGACCTACTAAATGTGAATTGCTAAGCCTTAGTCCATTAAATTTATATTTATATATTTTATATTTGTTATGTTTTATATTGAAAAGGATGTGATCGTACTCAAATCGTTAATACATCTGCTTGCCCTGCCCTTGGTCAGAAAGGTAACAATGCAATTGACAGCGGCAACACTAATGCCAGTACGAACACTACTCCAACGGATGTGCCCACTGAAAATGTTAACAACAATCAACATGAAAGCAGCACGCATGTAAGTGACACGAATAGCGCCACGGTTACTCCGGTGCATGATGACAACCATGCGGTGAAAGTAATGAACGAAGCTTTGGAATCACACGCCGAGTCGAAAAGTATGGGGTTGGCTCTTGGTTTTTTGGTGCCCATCTGCCTAGTGCTAACAGTCGTGCTATGGGTGTTTTATGCGTACAGAAATCCACACACTAAAAGCGGTCAACTTCTTATTCAGGTACGTACGGCTTGACATTTGCGCGGGATCGATCAAGGTGCCTTTTTAATAGAAGGAAAAACTAATTATCGCGACTGAATATAATTTAAAAATATATGTTGATTTTTATTTATATACATACAGCAAAAAATATCAAAGTATAAATATTTGGGTTTAATAGTAATCTTCTTCATATTAACTTACAATATATATTTATTTTATTGTATATTTACATGCAGTCAAAGCACTTGCATCAGGTTTGTACAAGTTTTCATTGCATCATTCACCACATAACGACAATTTTCATTTCTTGTTAAACAAAATAAATTGATTAGTTATGTGAGACCCCTTATCTTTATGTAATTGCATTAATTTTTGATTCGTTTTCATTTTGACATTAAGCATTTATCTTATATGAACATATTTAGATTTTGTTCCTTGTCCCTAACAGTCTAACAGCCCTCTCCCTATGGTCTGAACGCATAGCAACAGCATGTTCGATCTTACGTTGTAAAATGAAGGCTTCAGAGGTGGTCTTTAAAATTGTTATACAGTTGAACTTCCCTAACCTGAATCACCATAAGCAAATCTTACTTCCTCTACCCCTCAATATAATCTGTAATAGTAACATTTGAAGGGATAAATACGCGCGGCGTCTTCTACGAGACCAGCTGTTTGCAAAGAGGGAAAAATGCGACTTGGATGATCACGTCACGATTTATGGAAGCAAATTTGTATGGACTTTGACTTCTAAACGTTATTGTCATTTCAAGAGTTCGAGAAGATTTCGGCCATTTTCGAACTAACTTAAAAATATCAGTGTTGTACATCAAATTTGGATCCTGCGCTATAGGATTTCATATAATGTTTGGCGATAACTCGCCCATTATTCACTTTTAACTCTGACCCCTATGGAATCCTTTTATGTCATATAGCAAGTTTCGTTGGTATAGCTTAAGTTTTTTTTTTTGAGCTATGTACATTAAAGTTATAAATATTCAGATTAGTCATTAAAAATGTTGCTGTTTTCACACGATATCTTTTCACTTTCGCACTAAAAAAGATTATCCGAATTAACTAATTTGTATGCATTATTTAATTATTATTTAATTAATCCATTTTACACCGGTGCATAAGCATTAATCATATTTACAGAGTCATTGTAGTATGTTGCCTACTTGCAACCCTATAATAAATATCTATTTCTTATCACGTTTCAGTACCGCCCAAGTCAATGGTCATGGAGACGTGGTGAAGCGCGTTACACAGCGGCAACGATTCATATGTAATGTATTTATAAATGTCCCACCCTTTTCTCAGCATTATAGAATGCTTCAAAAGCATCTTCAAATGCTGCTGCATGTTTTGAGAAAGTTAGACATTTCGTTAATTAAGTTAAATCTTTATCTCTGTACTTTTATTAATAACTTTATGAAATCTATTGGTACTATAGCGAATTTATTCAGCAGAAAATATCGTTTATTTGTGTTTTGTTGCATTGCACCATGATCAACCATTTACTTTTACTAAATCAGTTTCAACTTTAGAGGGAACACGCTTTAAAAATAACTAAAATGTAAAACACAGAAAAATATATTTGAAAAGACATGATATGAGGTAAATTACAAATAAGATGATGTTGCAGAGTATATATATATTTCAATTCTAAAATCATTTCTACTGTAGGTAAATGCTTTCTGTACTGTCTGTTTTATTAAAATATATATATACATATAAATTTTACAAAGCGAACCTGCGCTAAATTGTATAAATAAACTTATTTTAATTCTCGTTCGTAGATTTGTAATGTTTGTTTAAATATTTTTAACCTTACTTTTAAACAGTTTGTTTTTTTTTTGCATTTTTGTGAATATATTTTAATAAAATTATCAACTCTTCTCTTATCTAACATTAATTATGCACAGTTTTTAATATCAAGCAGATATGCCGTATTTTAAACATAATTTTTAAAACCACTACTACATAAGAAAAAAAAAAGAATGCGATAAATAAACAGTGTTAATGACTTAGGGCCAGCTTTCAGTGCAATTATAACAAAGCGTGTGCACAGTCATGACTGAAATCAATTTGTGACTCATGTTTTTAAGTTGCATTATGGAAGTATTTGCCTTTAGCAAAAAAAAAAAAAAATGTTAAAAATAAAAATAAAGTGATTGCCTGCAGAGAATATAAAAGCAGCATTGATTAAAGAGTATAGAGTGACTAATGTGGCTGTTTCAAAGCTTTCTTCGATTTGTTGAATAATAAAAATCATTTATAAGTTTCAAATTATATTTCGTAAATTCGGAGGACCGAAAGCAATGATCCGAAAATACAAATTTGGTTTTAATGCATTTTTAGGTCTGTAATATTCTTTATTTCCGTACAGCGATCCTTATTTTCATAAATTAAAAGTACTTCTGTAATGCAATGATGGAATTTGTAAGAGTGTTACAATAATTCTTCAGCCAATGGCGAAATGAGACTAAGAGTCCTTTCCTTTCACAAGGAAAAGCAGTCAGATTTTTGTAGCGTATTCATCGCTTAGTGAAGACCAGATATTTTATTTAATTTTGCCCATATTCTTAATATTATACTATTGCAATAAAAATAAATTATGAAAATTAGTAAAATGTCGTTAGTTGCCGAATACTTATGTGTATGCAAAAACAGTCATATCAAAAACATTTTGCCGTCAAATGGTTAACTATTGCATTTTTAAATGTGTGTGGTTTTGTGTCTAAAAGTAGAAATTCATGTAACGGTAAAAGTGTAAACACCTTTGATATCGGTTTTTAATGCCATGAAAGAAAAAAAGATCTAAAAACATTTTGATCAAATAATTGCTCGTATGAGTGGTTTCCATAGACATTATTGTCCAACAATGCCACCATTAATGCGCCCACTGAGTAAAAAATTAAACAGAAATTATAATATATCCCGAATGCGAAAATAAATATTTTCACTAAAAGCAATTCGTCACTTAGTGTTAGCGAACAATATTTTGAAAAACAACAATGTATAGTATATAAAACACCACACACGCCTTATGTACGAGTATATTTGTATGTTATAGCTGTTATGGAATATATGTATGTGTATCAGCTTAAAACACCAGCAATTGAGAATCACGTTTTGTATGAAAAATTTAGCAGAAAACAACTTGTAAACTATACTATATACATAAATAGTTAAAAAAAGTATTAGAAGGTAAATCATGTGTAAATTTTAAATTAATATCGAAATTTTTAAACCTACACATATATATTTTAATTGTAAGTCAATGATGGTTGCAAATATATTAAATAAATGAACGTAAATAAAGAAAAATTATTAGATATGGATAAAAAATAAAACTTGTATTTTTTGACAGGTCTACATAACCGGAATATATTTTTAGTCAAGAGCTTTTAACACTAGGGCAGCAACACATACAATTTGGGCTCTATCAAAATAACAACCACATACTTGGTTGCTTTTTAGGTCCTTTTTGTCCATATTGCGTATGATAAATATAGTGTACAGATTTTTGTGCTTTAATATTTTTCAAAGTATACTTTTTTTCTTCTTCAACATCGCTTATAAGGTTCTATCGAACGTAAAACGACAACAAACTGATTCGACCTTATCAGTGTGGCCTTAGGCCCGGAAAATTAACAACTGACCGAATATTCACCAAGCGCCAAATCTTGGAAAATACCCATGAAAAGAAGATCTGTAGAGGATTTCAAAGCTAGTCTAGTCTAGTCCTGGAGAAAATAATTTGAGCTGCAGAATTAAATAGAGCACTACAGCTGCTGGCGTATGCCGGTGATATTGCCTTCATTGGCCTCAACGACCGCGTTGTTATTCCGCTTTCTCCAGATTGGATAAGGAAGTGGAACGTATGAGTCTGGTTGTGAAAAAGTCGTAGATAATTTTGTCCATCTTAGAACAAGCTCTTACACCAACAACAAAGTCAACCTCGAAAAAAAGCTCTTGCCAACGGTGCTAATTCGGTCAAAGTAGGCAATTGAGAAGTGAAGTTCTTTCGCGACAAACAAAGACAAAATTCTACAAGTCACTCATCATCCCCGACCTGCTATATGGTACCCAGGCATGTACGATGACAACTTTTGATGAATTGGCGTTAAGAGTTTTCGAAAGTACGGCTCTGCTGAGGATTTATGATCCTTTGCGCATTGGTAACAGCGAAAACCGTAGTTGATGGAACGATGGGCTGCGCGAGATATTCGATGACATTGACATAGTTCATCGAACTAAGAGACAGGGGCTACGCTGATTAGGTCATGTCGTCCTATTGGATGAAAAGACTCCAGCTCTGAAAGTATTCGACGCAGTACCTGCCTCAGCTCCTTTGGAAAGACCGGGTGGAGAAGGATCTGGCTACGCTTGAAATCTTCAATTGGCGTCAAACAGCGAAAAGGAAGACCGACTGCCGTGCTGTTGAAAGCTCGGTATAACCAATCAAAAAGGACTATATCATCAAAATAAGTTCAACCGGTTCTACAGGTAACTATATAACAGATTTTCGACAGCTCCGATAGTATCAAGAGACAATTACTACGGAAAGTGCGTTGCCATCGATGGTTGTAATGTCGCTGCACAATCAGTACTATTGTTAGTGCTAACATTATTATTGACTTATTAATTAAATAATTACATCTGACATGGAGATGTTTCTCTTACAAATTCCTAGTTAGTATCATTGGAAAAACTCGGGCCACATCACTGTGACCGCAGTTAATTATTGTTAACGAGCGTTATCGGAATAGCGACTCAACGATATTAGTACACTGCTACAAAGCGAGCTCTTGTAGAACCGAACATTAAATACTAACATAACATCTGACTAACATAACCAGATCATCTTTGTACTAAGAAGACTTATGTTTGAGTTTTTTATTTGCGATGGTTCGTGTTTTGATTCAATTCTCAAATGATCAGAATGATGAGACAAATCGATGCATCTCAGTTGTGATGATAACTGGAACACAAATTTAATTATTAATTTATTTCTTGTTTCACATACATATATTAATCCATAGAATAGTTTAAAATACTAAATGTGCAATAACTGCCTAAGCAACGACACTTTATATTGAGTATGAACTTTGTAAACAATTTTCTGGATAACATTCGCACCACTTATTAGTACAACGTAACAGCAATATAGATTACAATTTGTCTGGAAAGTAATAGGACTGATTTTCTTCTGCCGCACCGACTGTATTCTTTAGAGCAGAGGTACGAGATTAAATTTGCGACAGAGACGTTTGATATGATCAAGCAGGCTTACCCAGATATTGAATTAGGCAAAAGTGGTGTGTTTCGGTGGTATCAGGTCTTTTTGGAGGGCCAGCAAGAGGTCGATGTTGAAAACCGTGCTGGGAGACCTGCGACTTCGACAAATACCGACAATGTGACTCATGTGCGCAATGTTTTGAAACCGGTCTAACCGTCAACTAAGTATTCGTTTAATTGGCTAGATGTTAAATTGATCGAAATATGTAGTTCATGACATTATGACGGAGGACGGAAGGATAAATCGGGTCCAACAAGATATCGCAGCCGCTTGAAAGTTGCACCACGACAACGTCCCAGCTCACACCGCCTACCTAACCAAGGCCGGCATTACAACGCTTCTGCAGCCGCCATACAGCATGCACCTCGGCTCTCAAGGCTATTCAGGAGAATGCCTTCCGTTCCGCTACATCGACGCAGAAGGGGCCTATTTCGAAACTTTTTAACGATGGGTTCAATAAATTTTTTTAAACCTATTCTGTACGTATTCCTCTACACACTAGGGAGGCCCATGTTGTATTAGTGGAACAGGACCACAGTCGCGTCCACAAAAAAACATTAATCGAAAACCTAAAAATGCCATAGCTATATTCCACAACAAGATGGAAAGCTATTATTTAAAACTTACAAACCAATAGACCCCAGAACAAAATTTTTTGGGTACTTTCTGTGGTTATGTGAAATGGGTGAACAAAATTTTTTTGGTACTTTCTGTGGTTATGTGAATGGGTGAAATCGGATTACAACCCCGCTCACTCCTTTATTGAAACCACTAAAAGTGCGACAGCTCTATAATTAAATGCGACAGAGTCATTAAATTTTACATCTAAGAAAGTATAGAAAGGCTACAAAAAAAATCCGGTATCCAAATGGAGCAATAGGCGTGGCTTTTAGTTGAAATGTATTATCTGAGGACCTGCTGGACCGATATTAACAAAATTAAGTAGGTAATATTACCCCACGATCTTATTTGAGAAGTGCAACTTCTCATATATCATAATAATAAATTCCAAATGTGTTTTTTTCACATTACGTTATGCAAATCAAGCACCAATGAATACATACATATATATATCGGGCTAACACTTTGCACAAAAAGTGTCTTCAAAGTATGCCATCTAATGTCTTAAAATAACCAAAGTCGAGGAATCTAGAAATAGCGCTCCATCTATGAGATAAATTGTTAACATTCGCATAGAACCTTTTTCTGAAAATAATGTGCTCTTGCATTAAAAATTTAAAAAATTCCCTGGCCCCTACACATCCAATAT